TTACACTCATGAGCATAGTAGGATTTTTTGTGTAGCCGTTAGTACTACTTCCATTGCTGCGTATCCCCTTCTGAGTTATGGTTGGTGCTGCACCCTGTATACTTAGGAACGATTGAGCACGGATCACGGAGGGATTAGATGATTAGGTAGTTGTTATTCAGAAACAAGCAAATACCTCGCAGGGATGCGTGTAAGCGCGATCTGATCTGCGCAGCCTACGCGTATCCATGCGCGCCGATTCGTAACCACCTACGAACTTAACACCTGATTGCTCTGGGATTTTTTTATGATTGTATGAATGAATGTTGTATTTGCCGCTTCTCTTTCCGTTTTTGCTCATACTAGGCAAGGTAGTTGATGTTGATTACGAGACCTTGATGTATGTGTCGCTCGCCCACGCATGGAATGCCTAACGATCGCAGGGATATTGACTGATTGGATGTGTCTGGTGGCCATTCTGCATCTGCAACGAAGCAATCATCCCGTGTGAACACGTGTAAGTGTGATCCAATTCACGCAGCCTACACGTACTCACACGCGGTGATCGCAATCGTCGAATATCGGGACAGACACGGAATTTCTGAACGTTGAGCTCGAAAATTCCCCAGCCGGGTAACCACGCACTAAGGAATTCCGCGGCTTCACAATTACAAGATGACGTACTCGAGGGACTCAGACTCGTCGTGGGATCCGGAGTATTTTAACCCTGGGGTGAGCGAGTGTCTCAGACGGAGACGCCCGGAATTCCCCTGCTTAACCGAGAATCGATTGTGCCCTAGAGAGTTTCACTGTGCTACGACCAGCGATCCGAGGTGTCCCGATTTTCCCACTTCGGATAATTCGCACTACTTCATATCCCCCGGCTTCGTCGTCATCGGTACCAACTTCCCTCCTTTCCGTCTCCTCCTCCCGTACCACCAACTTACAGTGGTACCGTGGAATTCCATCGCCGAGTACTGGCCCCGCACGCCTTGCGGAAATTGCCGGCGGCGCGACAACAGACGAGCCCCGAAAACCAGAGGGCCTAACCCAAACACACGACGACAGATGCCACGTGGCAGTACCCGACGGCCCGACTCATCGGAATCACACCCACCCCGGACGGGCTTTCCCCTGAACCACCGTCGCCAAAACGGACGAATCGAACGGCCTTGACTGACCCACGCATGCCATCTGCCTTATGACCGGAAGTAGTCCGCCCCTTTAGCCATATTGCACCCGTGCCCATGAAATCGTGCCACAGGAGATCTCAGTTCTGACCTGGGACTCCACCCCCACTTTCCCAAAAATCCTTGGCACACCCCTTTTCGCACTTCCAGGCCCACATCCTACTCCGATCAGGAAGTCGCGCTGGGCGTGAGGTTGGGCGTCACAGTGAGTTCCTTTTTCCCCGCTTGGTGTACGCCCACTGCCATTCCCAAGCTGGTCCTCTTTTCCTTGAGCTACGTAGTCAATGTCTCTGTATCAGACTGTATGTGTAATGATTGGTTATATATGAAGCACCTATTGGGCACAACAATCTGTAGACAGACTCGAAACTCAGCTAGAGTTACTTTGGTGGTTTGCTACCAGTTGTGCGTCCCTCGACGCATTTTATCATCACATGTCTGCGTACTTTTCTTTACCAGCCCGTATTTACAACCTATGGGCATTGCCGCACGGCAAATGAAACGCAAAATGACACAACGAGTGTATTTTCTCACCTTTCAGGGGCAGATACACTCGTTTCGTTTTCGTTTCGTGTGCCTTGCGGCCGACAACAGACCACTGCCGCTTCCGCTTGAAGAAGTTTCAAGTTCAGCAGAGCGTTGACCGTCTTGTCAACGTAAATGAGGGTGCAATCAATAGCCATTAGACAGTTTGCAACCCCCTTGTCCTCAAATGCATAAGTGACTTGCAGCTGACGGAGACCAGTGGGCATGGCGATCTTGTTCCCATATGCGTCAATGGTTATGTCTCTGACGAAGACCACCTCATTGATCTCCCGAATCCGAAAACAGAAGAGTTGCTCTCGTACGTCTCTCCCGATGCCCGTCGGTCTAGAGCAAAAGCAGCTTTGTGACGAGGTTGCAAAGGCTCTCGGCAACGTGTTACTTGTGTTTCGAGAGAGGCGAAGGACGTTCAGGGTGAAGAGGTTCCCCCTTCCCCCCAATAAACTGCTCAGGCAATCCCCTGGTCCCCAGGGTAATCAATGCTGGAACTCCCCGCAAGTGTCTTCTGATGTACTCAATTTCAGTTGTATATGGGACGCTGGGCCCGCGTCCCAGCAGGTGATGCTCCCCACCAATAGATGG